ATATATATATATATATATATATATATATATATATATATATATATATATATATATATATATATTTATTACTTTGAAAAATTTGAATGAGAATGAACAAAAAATTTGTTTATATATCTTGCTTTTACTTCCTTACCTAGCAACAAGTCTGTCCAATTAACACTTTCACACACTGTGCATGAGCGCCGCAGACTTCCTCGAAATGCTCCCGATGTTTCGGGAGAGCGTGCGGCGACACTGAAATGTGTACAAGGGCACCTTGGTTTACGAATTTAATCCATTCCTGGAGACGGTTCATAAACAGAAGCGAATTTCCCTATAAGAAATAATGGTAAATGAATTAATCCGTTCCCGACTACTAAAAGAAATTTTTCAAAGTCAATTTTATACCTAATTCATCCAAATCTTCACTACAAAAGTATGTACAAGTTACTACTGTACTTTACTGACCAGTGGCAAAGTGAGGTATCGAGCTAATGGAACACTGTATAAGACAGATTGTGTCATTTACTTCAATATAAATATGAGTTGTAGATAAATGTTACATGATGGTTGTTGCCGTCGAGTGTGTCCGCAAAACAGTAGTGGATAAGGAAATAATTCTTTCATCTTCTTGAAGGTAACAGTGCGTAACTATTACACGTTTTTGGTGAAAACGGGCAAAATACCATTAATTGGAGTTTTTAGTCATGCTCTGGTGTCGCAATTACTCAAGTATGGTCAGGAAGACAGCGCAAGGACAGTTTTTCCATGCCCCAACATGACCACATTTAGTTTGCAACAGACTGCCTGGTAAAGACATCTTTACAATTCACAAGCCTGCCTACCTACCACTTACAGGACTAAGGCCAGAGGTGTACGCAAGTGCATTGTTTGCAAGAACTCGGATCGAAAAACAAGGAAGCGAAAATCTGTGTACACCATATGCGTCAAGTGCAAAAATCCCGCTCTGTCTCATGGACCGCTTCCTTGAATATCACTTACTTGCTAAGTACTAAGATTGTAACAGCGTGTTACTTTGTAAACAGTGTGTGAAACTGTATATAATGTATTATAAGTGAATGTGGAACAAGTAATATTGCAACAAACATTTAGTGAGGACACATTAATGACATGTATCACACTTCCATGGAGCACTATGAACATTATACTTAATATATATATTGTCAGGACACACATATGCATGATATGATACAAAAAAAAAAAATGAGAAAGTATTGAAAATACATAGAAATATTTGTAAATATAATTGTGGCAACTCGCGGGTCTTGAATGGATCGCGCAACCGTATCTGGGAGCTTCGCGCACGGGCGTGAAGCTCCCAGATACGGTTCCCAGATGAGATACACATACCCAGATACAGAGCTCCCAGATGCACACATGGGTGACTAGCCTGTGATGACATCACAGCACACTTTGTCCATGTCCCCACAGCCAAAGTAAGTAGAATTTGATATTTATTTTTACATATACATGTTCAGGGAAGGAAAATTCATCATTTTTCAAAGAAAAAAGATTTTTTGGGGGAATACTTGATTTTACGCGCACGGAATGTCACAAACTCGGCGCATCACAGTGGTTAATATAAACAGTCGACACAACAAGTAGGCAAAATTGGATTTTATTAACAATCTTGTAGAAATAGTAAATTGAGAAAAAGTAATGACCACTTGAGTAGCAAAGAATAATATCTTGAAGGGATAGTGAAAGAATTATGTAAGGACAAGAATCAATGGGAAACTAAATGCAAAGCCAAGGATGATGAAAATAAACTCTTGAAAATAGGTTTTGAAGACGTTAAAGCAAATCTAATCTAAACATAAATGATTACAATAGGTTAGGTAAGGAAATCCAACAGGAAAAACAGCTTTTGTCAGTACAGATGGAAGATGTTGCACTGGGAACAGAACAGTGCAAGAAAGATATTCAACTCACCTTTCACCTAGTTGTGCTTGCGTGGGTTGAGCAAGCTCTTTCGGCCCGCCTCTCAACTATCAATCGACTGTTACTAACTACTAATTAATCCCCCCCCCCACACACAACCCTCCCCTCCCCTTAGGAAGCAGGTCATAACAGCTGTCTAACTCCCAGGTACCTATTTACCACTAGGTAACAGGGGCATCAGGGTGAAAGAAACTGCCCATTTTTGTTTCCACCGGCGCCAGGAATCGAACTCCGGACTACAGGATTGCGTATCCAGCGTGCTGTCCACTTAGACACCAGCACCCACCACCACCTATGCACAAGTGCCAGGGAGAAGGAAAAAAATAGAAGTAATAAAGGAAGCCAAACACTGCAGCAACCAGGATAAAACAAACATTAGGCTGGAATTAGGCTGAAACTGGCATCAAACCTGAAATTGGTGCAAAACACAGTCGATCGAAGTCCCTATTAATTTTTGGTTGCAAAAAAAAGGAGAGCACATCTAGGTCAAAAAGAGCCATAGAAGAAGCAAAAGTAGGAGATAAAATTGTAGGGCTAAAAGAAGATCTTACAACCAAAGATAATGTCTGAGACTACAGGAGAATTGGTAGTTATGAAAAAGGTTAAGGGGGCATACAACTAGGTTATTAAAAGTTGTTCAATTGCAATCAAACCTTTTTTACTAGTTCTATATGAAAAGGGCTGCAACTGTTCCATGTTTCAGTATCGCAGCCTAAATATAAAGCGAAATTTTTTTTCCCTAACGAATTTTATACATTTTCAAAAAATTTCTACAACCACACATTTCAAATTAAATCATTTCTATGACTCTTCTATCACATTAGCATATAATAAAGTATTAGTATAACTGGATTTTCTGAAATATGTTTAGTTTAACTAACACAAATAATCAAAGTTCCCCAAAACTTTATGCAAATATATCACGTTTATTACCATTTATAAAAGCAATAAACGAACTTAGGAAAAATACTTCATACCAATTATAGAGACAAACTTTACATATAAGGTATAAGTTTCATGTATATTTAGTGGCTGAGGTTGACATCCAATTTCCTCCAAAACTGGCACCCTTACAGATAGGCTTACGTGCAGCCATGTGTACAAGTTTCATGCAAATTGCCAGATAAACAAAGAAAAAAAAAATTAGGAAAAAATCTAATTTTTTTTTAACTAAATTTTTGGGGGATAAAACTAATTAAGTTTTATTATATGCTATTGTGATAGCCGAGAGTCACAGACATGATTCCAGTTGACACTTGTGCTTGATATTAATTTTTGAACATTTTGGAAAATGACAAATATTTTTTTCTCCCATCCTATTTATGCTACAATGCTGAGACTGACTAGTTGAACCCCTTTTCATATACAACTAGTCAAAAAAGTTTGATGCTACGATGCCGAGACTTGGAACAGATGAAACCCTTTTCATATACAACTAGTCAAAAAAGTTTGATTGAAATCGCACTCGCTTTCATTTAATGCATTTTTTTGGAAATCTGGAACTCATGCCCCCTTAAATGGGGCCTAACCAGAGCAAGATATAGCTGAAGAACACCACCAGGTCTTGTTACTAATGCTTCGATTAATAAATCCCAGTGTCCTATTTGCCTTATTACGAACATTCATGCATTGATCCTTAGGTTTTAAATTCTTAATAATCATAACTCCCAGATCCCTTTCGCAATCCGACTTCGCAATCTCAACACCATCTAGCTCGTATCTTGTAACTATCATCATTACCTAGCCTCAAAACTTTACATTTATCAGCATTAAACTGCATCTGCCAATCTTTTGACCACAAAACCCTATTCAGATTGACTTGAAGTGACAATGAGTCTTCCTCCGTGTTTATTTCCCTACCGATTTTTGTTTCATCGGCAAACTTGCAAATGTTGCTACTCAAATCTGAATCTAAATCATTTATATATATTATAAACAGAGGTCCCAGGACAGAGCCTTGAGGCACTGCACTTACAACATTTTCCCACTCTGACTTAACCCCATTTATACTGTTTCCTTTGGTATAACCATGCCCTAATCCAACTTAATATCAAAAGCTTTGCTAAAGTCAAGGTACACAACATCACAATCCTTACCACTATCAATTGCTTCAACTATGCTGGAATAAAAAGATAGCAAATTTGTTAAAACATGAACAGCCATTTGTAAAACCATGTTGAGAATCATTTATTAATTTATGTATTTCAAGATAAAGACGAATTGAATTTGCAATTATCAATTCAAGTAACTTTCCCACAAGACGTTAGGCTAATTGGCTGGTAGTTTGACGCAAGTGATCTATATCCTTTCATAAAAATTGGTACCACATTAACAACCTTCCATGAATCTGGCATTCTGCCTGACTATTGATTTATTACATATGGTAGACAGTGGTTCACATTCTCTTAGCATTCTTTAAGTACCCTGGCAAACACTTTATCCGGCCCTGGGGATTTGTTTGGTTTGAGTTTTACTATTTGTTTAATAACATCATTCTTGGTAACTGCTAAGCTAGTCAACCTGTCCTCGTCTCCACCCACAGACTTGTTCGGCTTAAGGCATATTGTTAAGTTCCTCTTTTGTAAATAGATAAAATATTTATTAAAAATACTACTCATCTCTTCGTCATTATCTGTTATCTGACCCGTCTCAGTTTTTAATGGACCTATCCTTTCCCTAATCTTTGTTATATCACTGAAAAAACTCTTGGATTTGTCTTTGCTTGCCCTGCTATGCAAACTTCATAGTTTCTTTTTGCCCTCCTTATCTCTTTTTAAATTTTCTAACCAGTTGTATAAATTCCAGTTCTAAACCAATTTCCCCATTCTTAATCCTTTTGTACCACGCTCTCTTTTTACCTATAAGCTTCTTAAGATCCTTTGTTATCCACTTTGGGGCCTTAGTATTCGATCTATTCAATTTGTATGGTATACTACATTCCTGTGCTTTGCTTAGAATATTTTTAAGCAAGTTATATTTTGAATCCACATCAATATCCATTTTTACGTCACTTATCACTGGGTTCACGTCTCGCTCCCCCATGCCCAACTTGGGCATGTTCACCTAGCAATAAATAGATAACCTATTTATTGCTAGGTGAGCACACACAATTGTGCTCTGGCACCAACTTAGACGTCATTATAATGTAGGCAGTTGAAAATGCATTTGCATGTACTCTATTACACAGTAATGATTGATTTATAAATAAAATATATCAGTACGAATATCCTCTAATATTAAAAATAACTAATTTTCTTAGCACTTAAAATAACACCCCTGTTCATATATTTCCAATATTTACTCTTTTATTCATATAGTTTTTACAACCAATCTATTAGCTGTGTGTGTACCAATGAGAAGGAGATATTTTCAGTTGCTTATTTAAGCCTCAGACACATCTATTGACAGCAGAGCTAACACTCCATAGACTGGCAATTAAGTGTTGGCTGCCACATTAATATTACAATGCTTACAATCAATGCACTTCAAACAAAAAACAATATTGCAGTCTTGCAGCTAAAGTATTGACAATATAGTACTGTATTATCTCGTTTCATGCTTTCAAGTGAGTGTGGAGCAATACAATGTTTATTATTAAAGGTAGTGAAGCATTGATGATGATTCAGTGATCAGCAGGTGGAGCACCACAGCCAGACACCATTACTTGTGAGTTACACTGCCATTGGCACCCACCAAATGTACAAAATAAGACACACATTTTTACAACAGTGCAATGGAGGCAAAAATACTTTTGAGAAAACTATTACAACAACCTTAATACAGTACAAGCTAATGACAACATATTCACAAACACCTGAAACCATTACACAGATTCAGACCAATTCTTGTACATGGGAACACTTTTACTTCCAACTGCCAAAGAAAGCCGACGAAGCTATATTTGTAACTAGATTATATTTATATATATTTACTGAATTAATTAAGCAAGTTTCTAGAGCAATGGATCCGTCCAGGCCATGGGCGAGCACAACACAACCACACCACACAATTTCTATCATTTCCACCAACAAGAAAACAATTTTCTCACGGGCTTCATTGCGCACTCCTTTCCGTTCACTCGGGGACGGCAACTGCACTCCACACAAAGTTAAAATCAGCCAAACTGCACAAGTTGGCAGCTTTCCCTGTACGCTGGAGCTGGCCCAAACCCATCAACCTTCACTACAACTATAAAAAAAAAATAAAAAAAAATATTCCGCATACTTCTCAGGTCCCGATCGAGAGAGGAAGAGGAGGCGGCCCTTGCCGTGGGCGAGATGTGCAGCTGGAGACGTGTGCGGGCAGGGCTGGGTACTTACATGATCCACTGCTAGATGTGTGTAATTCGTAATGTTTTGGCAGAGTTGTTGGGCACAGGTGAGCGGCGAGCCGAGCAGCACAGGGAGTGGGGCGCCGTTGCCACACACCGCCACACTTACTGCGTACTCTCTTGTTTCCTCATTTATTCTCACCTATCTTGACATGTTGCTACTGTTTTATGATGTGTAAAGTTTTTCTGTGTGCCAGTAATCGTTTTAGAAATAAACTTATTCTATCTCTATCAAATTTGCTAGAACATTTGTCAGGTATCTATATTTGGGAACTGATAACAATGATATATAAATGCTGTAATATACATGGTTAAATATGAGCATCAAAATACTAATTAATTTATGAAAACATTTTACATCATATATCGGTCACTTTCAAGGAAATGAAAGATATCTTCACAGTAAAGAGCGAGAGCTCTCTAAAATATATTCAAGCGACCTCTCGATCTGTTTCCGCTTCCTGTTTCTCACTAGAAACTTCTCAGCTGCTCTGCATGGAGCCTCAACAATTACTTTTTGTTTTTAAACAGCTAGGGAGAAGTAAGGAAAACATTTGTCAGAAATGAAACGGAATATTTTCCTTTTCAATATGTATTTTTCAGTAAGCCTATGTCTATTATATATAGAGAATTTCATCTTCATAGTTTCCTTTTTTATTAACAAAATTAGGTATGCACAGCAATGTGCTGCTACCCTATTCTGTATGAGATATTACACAATGTAGATCAAAAACTAGCTATAGGTTCAACTAATATTCACATCTCACAGGATGGAATCAGGGAAGAAAATATTTGCCTTAATACAAAAACAAATCGACTCTGACTAAAAATCAAGAGAGAACATGAAATGTGAGGCTAATCTATTAGCCCCCTACAAGCAAAATCTGGGTACAGCATAAGAATATCTTCCAATATTCCTGAGTGTTGAAGTAATTACAGAGCTCAAAGGACCTTATACCATTTGGTCTGAATTAGTCACTTATAACAGGGCAATCACAGATATAGTGCAGGCGATGAGTCACAATAACGTGGCTGAAGTATGTTGACCAGACCACACACTAGAAATTGAAGGGACGACGACGTTTCGGTCCGTCCTGGACCAATCGACTTGAGAATGGTCCAGGACGGACCGAAACGTCGTCGTCCCTTCAATTTCTAGTGTGTGGTCTGGTCAACACAGATATAGTGTTGGGGAGTATGTATGCCCCAGTTCTTGTTCACATAGTTTTCAATTGGAATGTTCACTATTCGGGGGACTCATTACCTGCAGCCACCTGCCATAGATATCGATATCCCAGCCTAATTCTGGCAATTACAATATCACACTGTCTAGTTGATGTTTTATGCTGCCCGTACATATAATTCTCCGTTGAATTATGGGGCAGATTCGATATGCAAGCAGTGCTTGCATTTTGTTCTAAGCTTATATCAGCATAAATTGTTGGGGAGTCATGAGTAAGTTGAGAGGTGTTAGGTTTGGCGATCTTTTTAATTTTGGCTCTCATTTGGGCTGAGGATGTTGCATGATTGATGAATCATGCAACATCCCGTAAGAATTGTTCCCAATATATTTTCCTACCTAGTGCTTTAAATTCGCACTGTATCTAGTACTACACAATTCCTAATATATGTACCTAAGCAATACAACTTTATAATTGTAATCATTGTTATCACCTTATATCATGTTGTTAAATTGAACGCATATTTTACTGCATTATACTTTTGAATAATCCTCAAATTATGCTACAATATACATGTTGATAACCCTCATCTTTTACTTTAATGTACCTCATAATCTTTGTCAAATTTTCTTACAATGTTCCTATAAACTTTTTTCAATTTTACTAGAATTTACCTACTTAAAATTACCTGTTAGATTAAGGACCTGCCCGAAACGCTGTACGTGCTAGTTCAAGTTCAAGTATGTTTACTGAGACAAGAAAAAAATACATCTCAAAGGGATAGAGTAACTTAGGCTATTTCTACCCCCCTCTACTTTAAGTCCCTCAAGGGGCGCACAAATTCAGTGAGTACAAATATACAAATCACAATACAAGAATCCCATTTAACATTGCAGGTTAATATAGTAAGCACAGTATTTGAGGCAAAATTCTTGTAGTTCTTAAGTATACTGTCTATCATACCATTATCATACATCCAAACAATTTGATGTGGTACACTGCTTATTTCCTTATTTCTATAGTTATCAATAAGTTGACACTCTAATACATAAAGTTCTAAGGTGTGGGCGTGCGGCATACTACATAATTTACACTCGATCCTTATCTTTTTCACTGACATCAACACCGTATTGCCAGATATATTTGTATCCTAATCTTAATCTCATGTAAATTGAATCCTTCCAAGTAGACTTTCCTTTACCATAGGTGAAGGACGAATTTGTATTTATTATTGAATAATTCTTAAGTGTGTTACTACTGTCCACCATTGCCATTCTCTTTATCATTTCTTCACCCTCTTGGATCATCTTGATTCTTGTTTTTATTTGTTTCAAGGTTAACTGACATACAACATCAACAAGAGTTTTTTCCGTGGCTCTCTTCGCTATCTCATCAACTTCCTCATTCAACAGTATTCCCACATGTGAAGGGATCCACATGAATCTTCCTTTATACCCAGTTTTGTTTTCAAATTTCTTAACATTCTCTCTACACTCTATCACAATATATTGGTATACTGGTCGTCTACTATTTAAAGACTCTAACGCTCCTCTACTGCCAATAAAGAGACAGGCATTTTTACCACATTTGACTACTTCCTGAAATCCTGCTAATACACCTTGGAGTTCAGCCTGTGTTGAAGAGACATTATCAGTTAAGCGGCGTCCAATAACAGTATCTACAGTGCCGATGTCAGTATACTCCCTGATCAAGACTCCACATCCTGCCTTCCCATCCCTATCTACTGACCCATCACAATATACATGTAGTGTTTTTTCTGTAGGCAATTTTCTAATTATACAATCATATGTTGCCCTCAGCTCTCCTATCTCATACACGTTTTCTTTTGCAAGGGAATAATTACAACATCTACATTACAATCCTCCCATGGTGGTGTGACTTGTCTCTTAGGCACAGCAATACACTCTGTAATAACATCATAATTTATAACATTAGAACATAAAATACTCATATATACTCTCTTCTTTATCGTACATTGTTCATTACTTCCCACCTTTTGAACCGAGAGGATTAATTCAGTAGCTCCCCCACCTCTCATTAATCTAATGGCAGAGGCTACATTTATCTCCGAAATTCTATCCCCAATACTCTTTAGATTGAACTTTTTGAGATATATACAAGAGTTGTTCCATCCTCATTATCTCAATCATAGCATTTCTTGGGCATCCTAAGATAATTCTCATGGTTTCATTTTGTACCTTTTCCAACTTGCCCATCCTACCTTTACCAAAACAGGAAATGACAGGTGCAGCATAATCAGTAAGGGATCTTACAGTACTCATGTATATCATTCGTAGCACAGGGACTCCCACTCCCTTTCCACAACATGCCAAGGCCTTCAGAGGATGTAATCTCTTCCGACATTGACCCAACAGTCTGTTCATCTCAGCTTCCAAACTCTCATGGGTATATCCAACATATATGCTTAAATATTTATATATATTAGCTCTATATATTTGTACCGTTTATTTTCAATAACATGGGCCTCCGACTTCTACATTCAAACTTAGTTTTGTCTTCATTAACCACCAGTCCCATATGATGACACAGGTTTCGAAAATTATCCAATACCGTTTGAACCTTTGAAATATCTTTGCCCTGAAACAAAACATTATCGGCATATATGATCGGAGTTACCCCATTTAAGTATCTCTCAGATGCTATCTTATTCATTAGTACATTAAACAGGGTGGGACTCAACACTCCTCCCTGAGGTGTGCCGAGTTCAAAAGACCTCACACCTGACATACAAGCTTGATACCACACCTGAGCCTTCCTTTCGTGAAGATAATCCTCTATCCAGCGCAATAATCTCCCTTTAACACCAAGACCAGCTAATTCATGTAAAATAACCTCTTTGTTGGCTTTATCAAAAGCTCCTTGTAAATCAATAAAAAGTCTGTAATAATCATTATCATCAGCTAGACATTTAATAATACAGTCAGAGGTACTTTCGCCTCTGAGGAACCCGAACAAATTACTAGACAGCTGATCACCTGTTATATATAAAAGTCTATTTAAAATGATCCTCTCCAAGCTTTTTCCACTGTTGGTGTGATAGATTTGTGAGTGCAGTGCGGCATAATCGATCACTGATCTGACTGTCTGTACATAGTATGTGCGAAGGACTTGCAGATTGGCTCCTCCAGAGAAGGAGGTTAGCGGCCTGAGGATTGCCGTCCGGGCCGCAGTTCGCTCTCTCAAGTAAGTGACCTCAGCATTAAAATTCATGTGTGTGTCCAGGATTATTCCTAGATATTGATAGGTGTCGACCCATTCAATTGGTTGACCCTGTACTGTGAGTTGGATGTTGGGCTTCGCTATTTTTATGGGCATGGCCTTTGACTTTGAGGGGTTGAGTTTGATCCCAATCTGTTTTGCCTCTTTACTGATGCAGTCTAAGCATTTGGGTGCAAGGCGCGCCGCATCCCTTCCTTTTATGATGATGACAAAGTCGTCCGCGTAGTTTAGCCGCCTGCAGTGATGTGGGAGTTTCAACCTCATTATTCTTTCCATTAAACAGTTGAAGAGAAGAGGGGCTGAGAATACCTCCTTGCGGTGTACCATTTTCATGTCTTTTGTACTCAGAGACTGTGCCATGAAGTTTTACTCTTGCTTCTCTGTTTATGAGACAGTTTTTGGTCCAGGAGAGCAGGTTGCCTCTGACCTCTTTGTCAATGAGGCAGCAGGGAATAGCTGGGGCGCTAGCCAGTTCAAAGGCTTTTTCGAGGTCCAGGAATATCAGCATTCCTGGTCTGTCATTCAAGTGGGCTAACAGAGTTGTAATACATTCCACTGTGCCAACCCCTCTTCTATAGGCATACATATCATGGTGCAGTTTAGGCATTTTCCACTCCAGTCTGTTGAGTGCCATTCTGTCAGCCGTCTTGGCTGCACAGCTTTGGAGAGAGATGGGCCTGGGATTAGCTGGATCTTTGGGTTTTG